TGTGTGTATGAGTGTGTATATGATTGTGTGTGTGAGTGTGTGTATGAGTGTGTGTGTGTGTGAGTGTGAATTCTTTATACACAGCGTCAGTTTATGTTTTAATGGGAAAACGCCTCAGCTGAAACACAGAGAACATTTAAGGTTTCGAACACACTCCCTGCCTGGTGTCCTCGGTGATAACGCTGCCGTGGCCTGTGGCCCGTGGCCTCTCCGGGGCGAAGGGCCTGAGTCCCTGGTTGGAGAACGTACGCTGGGCCGTGAGTCCTCGCAGCGTGACCTCCATTACAGCGGGGAGGCAGAATTATAATAATTGTGCTGCAAGTAGCTAAGAAGCCTTAGAATGCCTCCACACTTGTTCCCTAGCGAAGCTCACGTTCTATCATCTGTTACAGTTTATATCGACCATTAAGCCAGGCAAAACTTGCTGATCTGCAAGATAAACGATGATACTTAGTCCCGCCAACCCCGTAACCTGCCACTCTCTGCTCCTGATTTATATATGTACATATATTCATATGATTTATATATATATGATTTATATATATGATTTATATATATATTCATATGTGTATATATATATAGTCAACAACAATGATACGGTATCAGTATGAGCTGTGATTTTTATATTATTCCATATTTGAATTATGCAAATTTAAAGTGATGTCTAGTGTGGGATATAAAGTATTATGAGCTGACCTCTGGACAAAAATGTATCAACAAATACAGATACGCGTGTGTGCGTGCACACATACTCACACACACACACTCACACACACGCACGCACGCTCACAGACACACACTCACACGCAGGCACACACACACAGCCACATACACTCACACACACACGGTGAGCCAGAAGGAGCTGGAGGGAGAAAGGAAGATAAGGGCAGGAGGGAAGGAGCTGTAAAGAGGTAAAGAGGCCGGCCGAGTGGCTGAACCAGGAAGGGCGGGGCCCGCAGGCTCTGAAACACCAGCCTCAGCGGCAGCCCTGAACTGGCGAAGCAGGTTTGGTGGGTTGAGTGAGCTGCCAACTTCACTCTTTCCCAAGGGGACAGTTATCAAACCCCCTCCCCCACGACAGCAGACCCCACTGGCCAGCACTGTCACCATGTTTTTCAAGAGAAACAGAGAGTTCACATTTTAAATATGGAAATCTCTTGATTTTTAAAAATGTGGCCAAAAGTTCAAGTAAAACAAATATTGGAGGGGCCTCAGAAAACCACACCGGCACCCTGAACGTGCTCTGCAGGCCACCGGCTGCCACCCGGGGCTCACGTGTCCAGTCGGAACTCTCCCTGAGACAGGTAGTGACACCTAGGCAAAGTTCATCTCCCTTTTGCTAATTGTTTTAAAAATATATGTGTATTGATCTCAGAGAGGAAGGGAGAGGGAGAGAGAGAGAGAGAGAAACATCCATGATGAGAGAGAATCATGGATCGGCTGCCTCCTGCACGCCCCTACTGGGGATCGAGCCCACAACCCAGGCATGTGCCCTTGACCGGAATCGAACCGTGACCTCCTGGTTCATAGCTTGATGCTCAACCCCTGAGCCACGCGGGCCAGGCTTCATCTCAGTTTTAAACCTTCACATGGGCAAAGCACTGTGCAGGGTCCAGAAACTTCCTACGAGACGCCTGTGCAAAGGAATGAACAAACGACAGAGCCAGAAACCAGCATCCAAAAATGCGGCTCTGCTTCTTAGCACCTCCTGATCCCGAGCCCTGGAGATACCGAGAATCCCAACGACACACGATACTAACGAGGCCGCTAATGACAGGTGGGTATGTCAGCAGCTGTGCCAGCTCCCGGTCCCTGAGAAAGACACGGTCTCCTCCAGGTGCTGCCCACACGGCCCCACGAATAACCAGACTCAACGGGAGAGAGTGTGTGGCCGAGGAAACCAAGGAAGCCCACACCGGAGTGCCCAGGAGCCTCAGCAGGGGCCCGGAGCCACGGCCCTTACAGGAGCCGGTGCTGCTGCCCACAGTGGTCTGAGAGGACAGACGGTAAAACAATAAGTCTCCCCCCAGCCCCGGTCCCCAGCTCCCTCGCTGTCCCCGGGGGGGCGGGGGGGGGGTGGAAGGCAGTCAGCACAGTTCTGTGTCTCAAAATATCTTCAGAGGAGCCGTGGGGTGCATGTCCATCCAACTGGAAGCCTGTTTTAGAAACGCATGTTCCTGCGGAATTGTAGGGTCGGAAGGGACCTCGTCCCATCCCTGACTCCGCTTCCCCTGGTCCCCGACGCCCCTGCAGGCACCCCTCTCTCAGGATGGGGAGTCCCGTCCCACTCGGAGGCACCTCATCCCACGTGGAGAAGGCTCCCAGTTTACCCAAGATCCGTTTTTAAATTCTGAAAGGCAGGCTTTGATGTTTTTCCTTGTCCCTTCTCGCTGTGACCTCCAAGGCCAGAGAAACAGGTGGTCAGATGCCCCTCGCGAAGACGGGGCTGAAGTATGTGGAGGCCGCTCCCAAGGTTTTGTACCTAACAAGCTCCACGGTTATCCGACCGCTCCGATCCCGACTCTCCACTTAACTGCCGAAGAGTACCAAGTCACGAGTGTCGCTCCCATGTCACCAGTTCAGGGAGGAACCAAACTTCACATCAGTGTCCAG